TGTAATGACCCCAGGGAATTTATGGCCAGGAGAGGAATTGTAAACTATTAACATCAATCACAGGCCTGGAAACCACAGGCCTGGAGGTACAAAGAAATGGAAGCCAAACTTGCCCAACTGCCAGGCTTCATTCTTCTCCAAAACAGCCTTATTCTTAAAGAAGTATTTTCTAAAGAAATATTTTCTCTAGTGCATATGGTATAATAATGATAATAATTATTATTTTATCCTATCACTTGGATATTTCTGGTTATAAAGCCCTTTATATACTTTTTTCCACTTGAACTTCAAAAAAATCTTTGAGGTAGTCTATTATTATTTCCATTTTGCAGATGAAGAAACTGAGGTTCAGTGAAGTTCAGTCACACACACTGAAGTGCCAAAGCAGCCTGTATTCAAATCCCTATTTCCCACCTTTAAATATAAGGTTCATTCCACTAATCTATGAAACTATATTAAGAAAGGTCTTCAAATGACAAAGATTCTTGTCCTCACTCCTTAGGAACACGCATGCTTTCACATCTGTCTACAGCCAACTAGCCTTGCTGTCCCATCTCTCCAATGGCCTCTATTTTCCTCTCCTCAGTGCCACAAAGGTTTCTTCTTTCACAGAATCCAATTCCTATGAAAAGACCATTCACAGAGGCAGAAAGTGGCACATTTCCTCACTTATTTAGGATATACTCAAGTGTGATTTTCCCCTTAAATTTTATTACATGTGCACATTTCTCTTTGGGTTATATTACCTCTTCAAGGACGGAATTCTTATAAGAACAAAGACAAGAGGACTGGTTTCTTGTCCTGGTTTCTATATTATCATGGATACATTATCTATCCTTTATGGACTTCGGTTTTCTCATCAAGAGGATGAGGTGCGCTAGGTGACCTCCCCCTTCCAGCTCTAACTTCTATGACTCTGTGAATTCTCTTTTAGTTGTGATGGACATATTCTATATGCAACCATTGATTGTTATGTATTTGTCGAAGGAATGATATATGCAGTTTAATACTTTGAGAATGGCTACTGGGATCAAACACAGCCAAGCACATTGTCAAACACACTTGGCTCTATTCCACCACTTTTGCTACTAGGATTTGGAAGAATAGCTGACATACATGTGCCAACACTCTCTGAGTGCTTCTTTTAAATATTAGAAATAAACTGCTGCAAACATTTTTACTTAGTTTGTAAAGCTGAAAATTACTCATCTCCTTTTTGCTCTATAATAACCTAATTTATTTATTGTCTAAATTAGGGTAAGCAAATTAGTCCATAAGTGAATTTCCTTGAAAACTGAAGACTACCTCATTTAAGTGCAGAAGTTATTTTCACATGAAATATTTTCAACAGAAGGTATTAAAAGAAACCAACTATTACACATTCTCCTGTTTCCTTAACCAGGGTAGTTAACCTCTTCTTGATTACCTATAATGTCATCAACATGCCAAATAGTTATTACACTGTGTTAGACTAGATTTTAGCCACTATAGTGATACTTAAAGGGCCTACTGGAATGCCTAGGTCTATGTGTCCTTCCACTGAATATATACAGACTGCTGAGCTGAGTAACCCAAAAGTGAATCGAAGACCCTAGTCTACTTATATTTCCTCCTGCCAGCTGTTATATCTCATGATTGCCTATGAATCAAGTGGGCTCTAATCTGCTCCTTTATTTTAGGTAAATGACTTGAGGATGGCTTCATCTTTTCAATTAAGCTAAACTAAGGGCTCTGTGACATCTGTTTTACAGTCAGAAGCTGTTTCCATTTATTTCCAGACTCATGGTTATGTTCCCATATGGTGGTGTTGCTGGGAATCTGATTTGTAGATAAGGGGAAATTTCCTCTACTACCCTATCAAAGCTTCAAATGAGATATTGTATGTAAAGGAGCTCTAAAAATTATAAAGCTATGCAAAACAATAACCATCATTAATGCTACAACTACAATGGTTCCAAACTTATCAGAAAAAATGTACAAATTTTTATTTGATAAAATAATCACTGCATATAATTGAATTTTCTTACTATAGGAACAGGTGAAGCATGTACATTTATACTATGGAAGATGTGCACATATAGATGTATACAAAAAACCTTGAGGCATTTAAACAATTTGAATATTCCAAAATATTAAATACTAGTATAAAATATTTTAAACCTTTCAAATGTCACTTGTACTTTAACAGGAGAATGGCAGGCTCTTCTTATGTGAAATTTAATATATTCAGTAGAATCATTTGAGTTTTGGAATCACCTTATTTTATAAGCCATAAAACAAACAGTACAATGAGTCCCTTTTTCATTGTTTTCAACAAATACTCTTAACCCTTGAATCCAGACTCAGGAAGAGACACTTTTCCTCTCCTGTCCAAGTGTTTCCTCTAAATGCGGTAACTGGCTTCACTTAAGGCCTATCAATGTTGCCAGTGATATAATCCTTCAAAGAGACAACAGAAACCTCCCTCTGTCCTAATCCCAGTGAGGGGCTGGTGAAGTTGATAACACTAACAATGCAAGCAGTTATCCAAGACACCATTCCAAGAGCAACTGTCCATAATCCAAAATTGTACCATTAAAAAACAACAACAACAAATTAAAGGAAGCTTCAGTGCTTTGGTTCTCTAACATTCTTATTTCATAAGAAAGCAAACATTATAAGAAACTAAAGTCGGTACAATTTATGAATATTACTGAGAATTTTATATCACTTTTTAAATACAACCATATTATGTCTAATTCTAAAAGCAATAATACTTATATTGCAGGGTTTTCATGGCTCATCAATCTTTATAGCCCTGAAATTTGTTTCATAAGGAGACCTTTGTAATTCCTTGGTCTTGCTTACCTAACCCAGGCTTTGTATAAAGAATGTCTCTTGAAGGTTTCCATTTCCATGAAAACTTGCTAGGATTCTTTGCAGTGAAATCACTGGACGAAGTAAGTTTCAGCTGTCTTGAGTGCAATTTACCAAGGTATTGTTCATATTTAAGTTTGAGTATATATTATTTTTGAATTAATCTTTTTTTTCTTTATTGCACCAACATCTCCAATGTGTAGTACTGCTATGCATGAGCGCAGAGACCACACCAGAAAGTAAAAGCTATGGTATTGCCACTAACAGGTGGAAACAATAATGGTAACTCATGACAACAACAGTTTATTTCAATTCACACAAACTCTGTCTCCAACTATACAAGGGACTGTTTTATGGCTTTTTTTCCCCAGAGCCCTTCTTAGTATATTTCACTGACTATACCTCAAAAAACAGGAATCAGCAATTTAAAAAATAAGTTTGAGAAAACATAATAATTTATATAATAGCCAATCTTGAACTGACTCTTCAGTCTTGCAGTACTCTCACTAGAAATTATGACTGTGTTAAAGCCACTTAACAAGTGTCTTTATTTCCAGTCTCTTCCCACTAAATATGTCTTGCCCCAAATCAAAAAGTAATCTCTCTAGAAAAAATGTGAAAGTGTCATTGTTTTGCTTGGAAGCAAGTCTTTGAAGACTTGCACAGTATCTAAGCACAAAGAACAAACTCATTAGCTTCATATACAACCAAATCCCTTCATCTATGTATGATCCAAACTACTTTTAAAATCTCATCTCCCATTAAAGTACCCAATCTTCTTCTCAATTCTTCTCCTGCAATATCAACCTCACCAGATCAGAGTGCATTCACCAAAGACATCATGGACCCTCTCGGTGGTGATTTTGTTTACATTCCCTCTGCCTGAATGTTCCTCTCTTTTTCTGATCCCTCTAATTCCCTACTCAAATAGCACTTTCTCTGTGAAACTTCCCAATCCTCCCTCTCCCAGACTTTGCTGAAATAGTTCAGCAAAGTACTCCAATAGTTCCTTGACCAAAGCTTTGTTTTAGCATTTCTTAGGTTGTATTACTTAAAAAAAAAATTCCCATGTGCCTTCTCATCTAATTTCTTAACTCCTCAAAGGTAAGGACTGTGTCTTATCTCTGCACACAGGGCCTAGCACATGGTAGAGACTCAATTGGTGCTTGCTGACTAAACAGATAAAGGACTACTGTGTGATATACTTTCTTCTCCAGCAGCTACTTGGAACTAAGGTTCTGATTAAGCTAGTATGATGTGCAGGAGATCTCACCACACAGTGACTCACCATCCCAGATCAATGGCTTAGGGAGACTGATCAATGGATTAGGCCAACTGCACCAGGTGCAGTCCTCCTTTCTCCTACCTAATTTTGCATGTTCAATTGAAAAGAAAAACTGTAGCTACTGTCATGGTTGAGCTATACTGGTAAAGAGGGAAAGATTTTTCACTTTACTCCAAACTGTGATATAAGTCACATGAGACAGAAGGCCCTTGGCTATGTAGCAGCATTATGGGCTTGTACAAATCATTTAACCTCTCTGGGATTTATCTGAAAAAACAGGGGTCTTCATGCTTTGAATGCCACAAGGCTGAGGGGCCAGACTAGACTGATATATTTTTCAATTCTAAGATCTATGATTCTATTCATCCATCCATTCATCCATCCATCCATCCATTCATGAATGCTTAAGATCTTTTATAGCTCTAATATCTACAATTATACATCTAGGAAAGTTGGAGTCAAAGAAAATGTAAGATGTCCCAAACATTCTGCAAGAATTTACACTGTCAAAAAGAATGACCTGCAGGATATGCAGATTAACAAGTAAGAAGCTCATGAATACTGACAAGTTTCTCCAGATGCTCCTTACAGTTTGTGTTTAGTTTCCTTATCTGAATAGTTTGGGATGTCACATTTACTTAAAGGCGACAAACACGCTGTCCGGTAAGTAATTGTGAAAGATTTGGAAAATAGAATGAAATTCTAAATCATATTTGAGAACTGTCTGTAGTGAAAGCATACCAGCAATAGCGACATTCTTGCACACTTAGGTAATTGTTCTGCTTGTTCAGAAAAAAGGAGATAGAACATCTAAAGAAATACATAGCTTTGACATGTCAATGATAATTCCAGAGTCTACCTTTGTTTCTGTTGCATGGGTTGTTGTCTCATAGCCATATACTGCATGTCTTCTTGCAGACGATTAAGAGGGGAATCTGGCTTGACACGAATCCCATAGTAATGGTACTTGGAGTTTCCTCTTCATAAAAGAACAATAAACAGAGACACAAAAAGTCAGTCAAGTCAATATTAATCATACAGGATGTCCATTTAATTTCATATTTGGAAAAATTAGATAAAGGCAAAATATTAATGTTATATATTTATGATTTACCTGTTCTGGACACCTGTATATTTTTATGGTGGCTACATGTGAAGAATCAAAATAAGATTCTGAATCAATCAATTCAAGGCCCTAAGAAAAATCTTTCCTTATAAACTTTTGCTTAAATATTAGTCAGAATCCATTTGCTCGATTTAAGTTACATTTTATTTTCAACTTTATATTTTAACTATAATTTAGAAGATTAGATTAACAGGATATTCATTAACAGGATAAAGGGTTGCACACCAACTAGGAATTTATTATCAAATGGTTATGCAGAACAAAGAGAAAAAAATCTTAATTCTACTGTCTTGGAGAAGTCCTGTATTTTTCTAATTCTATTACTGCAGGGATGACTAAGATAACTTCATTGATACAAGATGTTGTAAAGTCTATTATTTAATATTTTGAAACCTAAAAAAGAAGCAGGCGTTTAATCTATTGATTTCAAAGCATATTTTATTAGTCTCTGTTTTTGTGGATTCGTATCAGTTTTTCAAGCTGAATAAGATGTGTCACAACAGACACGGGGAAATTTCTCGGTGAAAATGGCAAATTTCCATCTAGATAAAAAATGTCACAACTTCCTCATGTTCATGAGAAAGACCATATTTGTTAGAAATGACAAAGTTTTACTCTGAATGAAATTTGCAAATTCTTGCAAAAATAACATTTTAAACATGTAAATTTTTGCAAAGAGAAAATAGTAGTTTTTCTCAAGTCTATATATAGCAAGACATCAGTGTTCTTTCCAACTTTTTCTCTCATTTACAAGAAGAAATGCAAGTGGAGTGTGGATTCAATATTTTATATAAAAATAAAACAGAATTTTACTTCCAAGGTTGAAGAACACACGTTAGATGAATCCTATATATTTGAAAAGACATTAAAATCTATTATATAAATAATATTGCTAGTTTAAAAAACATAGGGCATTTGAATACCTACATAGTTTCAGCAAAATAAACCAGTATGAAAACTTAATGCCTTCCACTTGCAGACATTAGATCTTGCCTCCAAGATCCACTGTAGAATACAGCAAAAAAACAAAAACAAAAAATACCAGAAACTGTTCCCATACAAACTGGAGAACAGGAGGGAGTAGCCAATGACAAAGATACAAAGTAAAATCACATCTCTCTTGTGAGACCCCAAAATACACAAAGTACCTAGTTTCTCTCCAGTTTCCTATAAATTGGAATCTTGGATGGGTTGGAGGAGAGGCGGATCTTTCTATTCCACTGAAGATGGTTGGGGGAAATCAGTATGTTCCATGGTCTTCTTTGTTTAAACTTAATTTGGAGATGGGATGTAACAAAAGCTACCTTTTGATTTACCTTTGTTTAGAAACATGGTGATATTACTTATCTTTTACTTAGCTCCAGAAACTTGACCAGAAGTTTGGTTCTGGTTTTAATGAATTCACCAGATAATCTTATTGATGGATAAATAACAGTTTATGGTTTACTTAAAAAAAAAAAAATCTGAGTTGGTTTGCCTCATGATTTATACTGATTTTCTTTCTGTTCCCTGGGTGAGGAGTAGAATGAATGCTAAAACAGTTTCCATGGTAGAAAGAACCTCTGGCACTTCACCCCTATCATTGTCAGTTTTTCTACATTAGAGTTCTGCTAGCTTCATAACACAGCATTTGTTAAAACTTTCTCCCTAGGATTTCTTTTCTCCTTATTCTTCTAGGCTTTGTTTTCCATCTCTAATTACAAGACTACATACAATTTTAAAAGGAACACGATACACAACTGCTACATAGTGAGAGGGGGAAGTAAAGAACATCAGAAAGAAAAAGCTGCAATATTGCAATATGTACTTATAGAGCATATAGTATGGATTCTACTCATTCACAAACCCAAACAACCCCAGTTTTGTCCGTTTCTATTTTAAAGATGTGTTTCAAGGTTTGAATGGAGCCTCAAAATAGGATCCATTGAAATCCCTTTCAGTAACAAAACGGGCACAACAATACAGCTATTACAATGCTGAATAAAGCCCAGAGATTCAAAATATTGGCACAGCATGCATAACTACTGAGCCATCAGCTAGGATATAGTAGGTTAGGTCCCCAAATAATGATTTTCCTGGTTCTGGGGAAAAAAATACTAGCGAAACAAGAAGGTTTTTCCAAGGAACTGGAAGCTAGTTTCTTTACTCCAAATAAACAATCATATTCTTCAGTTTAAAATATACTATCCTTTGAAGTACAGATAGAAGAAAATACATTTATGAGAGAACCGAACCTCCAGCAATCTGAAAGCTGTACAATCACTTAATATTCACACTTTGACTACATACAGACCTTGTAAATATCATAAAATGGCCAAACTCCTTTTTTTTTTGTATAAATTTATAGTGAAGTCAATTACTGAGGCTGTTTATTTTATTAAGAATATTTAAAAAGCTTTACTAGAATACTATGAGGCTGTGACTTATAACTCATTAAAGGTATATCATCTGTCATATACAGTATAGGATCTTTATTTTTATACTTCTAAATATGGATTTTATAAGATTTAGGAAATCAAAAACATCCATATCATTCTGCTCAGCTATTCAAAATATTTGTTATGATAACTTGTAAAAATTATAGAAAGGCAAAAATGAAGCTCTATAGTTCTAAGTATTATTTTCAGCATATTTTGATTAGTAAAAACACTCATATCTATTTACAAAGGAAGGGAACAGAGAAAGTTAAGTCTTCTTCACATTACTAGTTTCTCTGCAATGGAACTATACTATATTTTTACTTCCATAGATGATTGGCTTCACAATCAAGAGTTTTAAAAAGGCCAATAAGAAGTTAAAAAGGACCAGGTCATTAACTGAGAGCTTCAAACACCTCAAATCTGCAAGTTCACTAAATTATTTTTAATTGGTCTCCAGAAATGAAATGAAAAACTCAGCTTTAATTTTTACTCTATGCAAATAGAGGAGTTTTTTATAAAGACATTTCAATGTAATTTTGCAAGTCAAGACATACACAGTTTTCCCCTTAACTTTGTCACTTTACTCATCATCTTTAGTACAGTTATTTTTCAAAAGAGAAGATAGTGATATACACTAATTTTTAAAGTATCATATATAAATCTTCCATTAATAGCTTGGTCTGCTCATTTCTATGTGATTTGAGAATCAGTTTTTCTCAAAGCTTTGTTTACTCTGTCGATGTTTAGTAGGACAATGCGTCATACTGGAATGGCAGTTTTCAGTGAATAATGACCTTTCCTTTTCCTGGGGGATTTTATAAACTGAGCTAATTCTTTAGTTTTTCTTTATATGTTATCTGTAATCAAGTACTTTTGCCCAAACAATATACTGAACTATATTGTTTAAAGCTATAGTTTAAAAAAGAGAGATTAGTTTATGATATTATTTTTAGTACTAACCTGGTTCCCAATCTCCTGGTTCGTAGCCCCATAAAAATTGACCTTATAAGTTTTCCAAAAGAAGCAGCATTGACTGGGTCCAGTTTGTGTTCCTGACAGTGTCGTAGGTAGTGGTTGTAAAGAGTGCTTCTGGGAAGGCTCACTCCTTCTGCTGTCTCGTAATTGTCCAACAGCCACTGGAGCTAGTATAAACAAGACAGGGTAAACACAGAGAAACCAAATCATTCACCAAAACGTCTCTAAGACACTGCAACTGTAATACACAGAAACACTCAGAAGATCTTCCTCAAGCCATGTAATAGGTAAACTGTTGTAATTCAGAGGACTGTGTAATCTGACTTTGAAAAGTCTCAGAAGTGTAAATAGCTGACCGTCATTTATTGACCTCAGACAATGTCCATTCCTTCAAACATTCAAGCACATATAAAGACATACTAATTTTCCTTGTATTGATTGCTATTTTGGAGACAAATACCTTTTCAAGGAACTCAAATAATCCCATTAACTGGTTATAAATATAATTTATAATTGTACAGAAAAAAAAACATGTTACCAAGCCTGGCAGCGTGGCACATAATATGTCTTTAGTGTTGGTTTGTTACAACACATGAACAGCAGGCTGCCTTGTACAATTATTTACACTAAGGTTCTATTCACTTTTATAGAATTCTAATTTATTTATCCAATTTACTTATACAAGATAATACAATAATGGTATTATCCACTGGGACAAATTCTACAAGCAGTAAGGAAAAATTTCAGTCTTTTCTTCCCCAGAAAGAAAGAAACTCCCTAGAGACTGGTTTAAAAAAATATGTGTAATGAAAAGGAATAATTTACTACAATCATTTGAGTTTTTCTACCTCAAAGCTATGTTTTTTCATAATTTTGGAAGACATACTACAATGGTAGTTGGTAAAGCAATGTTTTCTCAATATATAGTTCACATTTTAAAGTTTTATGTTGTCCTCTCTGAATTTTTAAAAAATAATCTGTAAAGTACATAATGTGCAGGAAATTTTTAGAAAAATCTAATTTATGTATATAGTACTGAGTTTCAACATTAGAAAAATTAAATTATCAATCTGTTCATTGTTTATTTATAAAAGGAGAACTGAAATAGGTTTAAATGACTTTCTTAAGGCCATACATACACCGTCTCAGTGCTTGATCTGGTTTCCAACACACTTTCCTGATTACTTGCATACCAGTTATTATTTCTACAAAAGCAGCATATGTGTCACATTACTTGTCTCAACCAAATTTCCATGCCATATACAGAAGGTGTGATAAAAAGGTGATATTCTACATGCAATTCAAGTTAAATGTAAGTTATGGAAGGAAAAGAATTCCTTTACTGAGCATCAACTATCAGTCAGGCAATGTGCTAGGCTCCTATGGATGTAAAAATGAATGTGACCTCACTCCTGTCCTCCAGGAATTTACAGTCACATACTAAAAATGATAATAAGAACACTCAAACTAAAGCATTTCTCCATTTTGCTTACATATTTTAAGATCTGTGATCAAGCTTAGAACCTACACTTTCAGACTCCTAATAAGAAAATCCATTAAAAACATTGTCAGAATTATTTTCTTTAACCGTGACAGCTGAATTTTCCAGAACAATTTTAATTTCAAATATTCCTACAGGATATTTATGTAATTAAACATGTCATTAACCTATACTTGATGTTGGCTTAGAAAATATGGCCACCAAGCCTATAAGACAGAGCAGAGTAGTTTTAAAAATAAAAATAAAATTAATGTTCTGGTCAGGAAGCCTTTAGGTTCTCTATGAACCACATATGTATATGAATACATTTAAATATACCTATTGCCTCTGAACATATACAACGCTCCTCTATGAAATTTTTAAAAGGTTACACAAAATAAACATTCCTTTTTATAATGGCCAAAAAATTTACAGGTCAAAAAAAATTCTTTTCATATGAATCATCCGTAACCTTACTGTCAGTAAACAAGTTTTCCAGAGGCATTCACACATGATTTCTGAGTACTCTACATGACACATAGAATAAGTTCACATATACATATTCATTTAGTGTAAAGAGAGGTGGTAAACTGATTGGAAAATCCAGTTATAAAGGCTCAGACTAGTATTCTGCCTACAACAGTGGGTCAGTATGTCTCTAGTGTTCCTTTTGAAATTTTAAGACTTTGTTGATTATGAAACAACTGACAGAGACGACACATAAAATGTGGCAAAGCAAACCTGCCTCACATATTTCATCCACGTGCCTCAGTAAGATGACTGGGATCTGAAAGCATTGTTTCCTCATTTGAATGGTGTTAGGGCAGCTCTAGTGAACCATACTGCACACAAATGATGGCTCTTGTTTTGTGTACATATACTAGATAGAGCCTTCCATTGGTATTCTAAATATATAAAGAATATAGAAATAAAGAATATTGAAATACAGAATATAGAAAGGAATATTCTATGAGGAATTTAATCCCTTGAGATCAAGGAATATTTTTTAAAAACACCATAAAATGGGCAAGCATATAAAAGCTATAAGTATTTTTTGAAAAACAGTAATATTTTGCAACTGAACTAATGAAGTGCCCACATCCACAAGCATCTAACAATGCCAGTAAGTTAAAAATGTCACAGATATGTTTGTATGTATGTCTATGTATCCTCAAATAATAAGGCATATTGTCAAAGCCAAAATGGTATATTTCTTAACAAAAAATAAAAATCAATAAAAAATCAAATATTTCTTCCTTTGCTAATGAACAGAACATATATCTATATACGAAACGTTAATTTAAAGGGCTTTTTTTTTCAGAAATGGAAAAATAATCAATTTCATAATGTGAACTTTATAACCAAAAGTATACAAATAATAAAATAGATCTGATGTAAAATACTTTTAATAAGATATAAATCAAATGAAAATAATTTGTTTAATTAATCAGATACAACTTAAAAATTTCTGTAAACTGCCTTAACTGTTTACCTTGCAATATTTAATTACTTAAAAGTAAAGACAAATATCTAAAAATGAGAGTTTATTAATATCTCATGATCCAGGGCTTCCCTGGTGGCGCAATGGTTGAGAGTCCGTCCGCCTGGCGATACAGGGGACACGGGTTCGTGCCCCGGTCCGGGAAGATCCCACATGCCGCGAAGCGGCTGGGCCCGTGAGCCATGGCCGCCGAGCCTACGCGTCCGGAGCCTCTGCTCCGCAGCGGGAGAGGCCAACAGTGAGAGGCCCGCGTGCCGCAAAAAAAAAAAAATAATAATAAAATAAAATAAATAAAAATAAAAAAATAAAATACTCATAAGCCTGAATAATATTACTCAAGCCCCCAGTGAATAACCTGGAGAAAACGAAGTTTTTATTGGATTGGCCACATGGTCCTCTGAAGTGGCTAAGCAAGTCACAGAATCTGGACTGGCTCTTTTGCAAACTGATTGTTCTTCTTACATAATTTTACATTCTTAAAGGTTTTTCTTCATTTCTAATCCAGTTTTTAAAAATCTGAGTTTATCTGTAATATGTATTTGTGTGTCTGTGTGTGTACACACACACATATGTGTATACATATTTACATACATATGTATATTAATATATATATATATATATATATATATATATATATAAAAAATCATTAGCTGGTTTGAAAAATTCCACAAGAGTGGGTATGCAGGTATTCTAGTGACTATCACTTTTACAGTAGCAAAGCTACACTTTGTTCCCTGCCCTTTGCTTGCAGGAGGAGGAACTCTTATTCCTTCCCAGAAGCCTGGAGATCACTTGGGAAGGGCAGGAGGTCAAGCGGAGGTAAAAGCCCTGAAGGATGGAGGCGGCTCTGCTGCAGCCATGACTGCTTCAACTAGGAAGCCTGCCAACAACTGCACACCCAGGAGTAGTGCTCCCACAAATTGACTGTGTAAGTGGAAATTGGTTTAGGAGCTACCAGATAAGATTTTGAGATTTAGCTGGGGATTAATCTGCATTCTACATGCCAGTATTTAACCTTCGAGTTTTGACACGGTGATAAAATTCTGTCAGATCTTTGAGTCTAAAACATAGTATAAGAAAGGATTAATTTTTATTATAAGAGAAACTTGGCAGTTAAGTGTAACCTGAAGGTATACACTCCACGTGCTGCCCCAGGGAAGTTCATGCCTATTAGAAGATATATTGTTTCCTTGGATTTCCTCTTTTATAAAATGTATTTGGACACTAATTCAATACCCTTAACATTTAATAATTTAGAAATAACTATTGCTATTTCTTTTACTCTTTTATAAGATGTCTTATAAAATATTTGTTTATATTTATGATTTTAAAAGCCCATGAAATACCATAGGAACTTTTAACCTTTATATTTAAAACCTGATTATTCTACTAATGAACTAATGTAAATTCACGTAAGGGTAGAAACCAAGATAATTGCATCTTTCAACCTTTGCATTTAATCTATATCAATCAGGGTAGATTAAGGAAGATGAACAGTTCCTATTTGTCCCAAAGGGAAATACTGATTGACAAATTAGAAAAATATACATTATTGCATTCCCCAATTAACATCTAAATGTAACATTGGCATTTTTCCCCAGATGGATTATTATCCATTAGGATTCATTTTAAGTTCAGTTCACTGATGATGTGCATTTTGACAGGTCTTATTTCCATCATAACTTATATTTACAGCACAGCCAAGTCAAGAGAAAGTAAGCATAAAACAAGGTTTTGCTTTGAGCTGAATATATTTCAGTAGCTAAAACCAGCAAAAATCATTATTCACTAGATAGTAAAAGGTATATAAAATAAATGCCTAAGGCTTTTTATATACTTTAAATGGAATTTTAAAAATGCACAAGCTGAAAAACATTACATGAAATTTGGGAACAATTAATTTAAGAATGTTTCTGTATTTAAATTTATAATCTAAAATATCCCGAATTTGATACAATATAACCATTAAATGCCAATTTATATTATTTACAACTGAGAAGAAGTATAAAATAAACTTAAGTCTGCAATGAAGAAAATTAAGATATTCTAATTTGATTTAGGCAGGCTACACATCATTTACCCATAACATCTTCACATGCCAAAAAATTTAGAAATAAAAATATTTAAATAAAAAAAACTAAAGGTTGTACACGGGGAAATGATAGCTCAGCCATACATTCTTTCACTCAAATGGTGTGCAGGGAGACCACTGTCTTATCAACAATGCTCACACATACACCTAATTGAAGCATACTTGGTAACAAAGAATACACGTGTGAGTCCCCAAATAAATGCACACATGATTGGCAAAGGTACTTAGAATACTGAAGGCAAAGTAAGGTCTGTTCCCTTCTATTACTTGTCTCTTACATTTATTCACTTAGCAAATATTTAGTGAGCACCTACTATGTACCTGGCACTGTTCTAGGCACCAGGGGTGCATCAGTGGATAAAACATATAAAATCTTTACTGTCTTGGAATTTTCACTTGTCAATAAATATTTATTGTCTGCCTATATAATGCTACTACTGGAATAAGTGCCATTATGTTAATAATGTTAATAGAAGGGAACATGGCACTCAGTGTAGCTGTACTCAGTCACAGGTAAGGCACTATGTTGGGTATGAAATAGGCAAGTTATACATGCATTTTTGACCTGGATGATAAGAGCATGATGATGATAAAAATAGACCAGCAGTACAAAATACTCTTAAGAATATGTTGAAAAAGGGATATAAAATTTAATACCCTCACTCAATCTTCTAATGTGTAGAAAGAGAGGTAAAAAACAAAGAAATCAAGTTGGATTATACCAACAGGGGATTACTTATTTGATTTTATCTTAATAAGAATTTTCCAAATTATTGTGAATAATCGAATATATAAAGAGAAAATAGAAAATCCATCTATTCCATATTGCAAAATAGAATGACAACACACTTTCAGCTCAAAAATCATGACTAAGATCCCTCTTCGGAAACTAGTAAGTATGGGACACAAATTATTGATAATTTCTCCTAAATTTTGCCTAATGACATTGATCCTTTGTAGAAACTGATTTCAGGGAACTATTATCATAAGGCTGAATTTATGTCCACTTCAAAGAATCCCACAAACCTCAAATGATTCTATATTATGTGCTATATAGGAAGGGATAAAGATAACTTACAGCTTATTAACATTTAAGTTGTTAGCCATATTTAAATTAAAAAAAACCCTCGCCACTAAAATTTTTCTACACAACTGAAAATCATCAATTAGGTTTTAACAGAATTTAAAATACCCTTAGCAGGTGATTATCAACTGGAATGCATGTAGTAGCTTATGCCAGTTGCTTGGATAAATCTAACAAAAATTAGGAGCATCGCTAATTTTCCAAGGACAGAAAGACAGCATGATCTTCTAATGGGTTCAGGTGGAAAGAAAACCTGACCGGTCAGGAGAAAACACTGATCCCCTCTCCACTGTTTATAACCATCTTTAGAATCCTTTGTATTTCCAGAGACTTGACTATAAATGTGTTGCTTTTAAATAAGCTTAACTGTACCTCAGAAGTGTAATAAAAGTGAATCAAGATATTTAGAGAAAGATTATCACTACATTAGCAACATTTATGCCCACTCTCTATATGCTGAAATGTCTCTGGGACTTATAAACAGTATGGAAGAGTTGCCATGCTATGTAATAAAAAGTACAAAGCCATAGAGTAACAAACATGTATCTGTTGTTTATGCAGCTTAATTCACACATTCATTAACATTAAATATTACTTCATGAATTTTACAAGAGAATAACAATGAAAAAAAAACGTATTTGAAAAGTTTCAAAAAACCAACAAATAAAAATATACAAAAATGTTCTTATATCCACATTATTGTTCATAAAAATACTAATTAAGATGGGTAATTCAAGTTAAAATTAAACACATCACATATTTTACTGAAGTATATATCTCAAATGACAATGAGATGTGAATTGAATATCAAAGCACAACTTCATAGAAGTCTGCAAGTTCAAAAAAGGTAACTGGAAATTTCAGGATTCTTTTTCTTATATCCCTGCACATTTTCAACTAAAAATGAACAACATTTTCCCCTGCCATTTTCAAAACAAAACACCAGATGGTCCTCACCCCCTCCCCAAAACATACATCCTAAAAGTAGAGAGTAAATCAGCCTCTACACACAACCACAGACTCATGCTAGCACAGCAGGAATATACCTATGAAACATATAAAAGAGTGATGTACTGCATACAAACTTTCAGAAAGGGGAAAAATCATATTCCTTAAACTTTCAAAAGAAGGGCCAAGGTATATATTGTTTTATAATTTAGAATCTATAATTTTCATCAAAATTGTAGTCATTCTCCAAGTAGGTTAACTTGTTTTTATTTGTCATGATATACTTCCCTTTGAAAAAGAAACAAACCACTTCATCTAAAAATAAATGTGTAAGAACATAAGGAAGTATTTTGTGTTATGTTGGAATATAAAATTTAAATGTTTGAAAATTCAAATATTTAAAAAGCACAGTGAAACATTTTCTATGAGCTAAATGTTTCAGGTTTATTGAAAAAAATAATGATATTTTATTTCACTTGGGTGATCCAATTTTGGACTTTTCAGTCACAAAATATGGGGAAGAATTAAAAATAATAATTTTATCTCCAAATTTAAGAATACACTGTCAGCTGGGAAGAAAAACTCTAATTCTTACTATATTGTTACTGACATTAATTCAGCAGAAGAACTGTCTAGACAGATTTAAATCATAGGTCTATTTACTTTTTCCCATATATTCAGAAATCATGATAACAAAATAATTTTTAATCAGCATTTTCACTGAGTCCCCAAAATTTGTACATTTGATGAAAATGTTTATAGTTTCACAAACTGTCATCATTCTTCTTACACTCACCGGTGTTGTAGTGATGCTGCATCTGATAACAGTTAAAAGCTTTAAAAAATAGTAACAATAATCCTGTTTTATCTGAATTATTGGCAGTTTATGGCTTATCTAGAATCTCACTTCTTCTTTTGGCCCAGATTCATTTTTCTTTAGGTCTTAGGACCTGAGCTCATCTAGGTAGCTGTTTCCTGCTCATTTTATATAGTCTTACTGGTAAATAAATCATTTCGAACAGTTTATCACTGGGTTTGGCATTAACAATCTTTTTTCCACTTAAAGAATATTACTGATCATACAAACAGACACGACCATTTCTCTGTCTCAGACTCGAAGATGCAGATTATAAACATTTGCTTCACAGTAAATAAATATCACACTAGAAAAATTTAAATCATCAGTTACTTTTTACCAATATTTGGTAGCTTGTTATTAACTTGGAAATATATCTGTACCAAAACAGTAAAAAAAACCTAGTGAAGTAGTATATTGGGGGCTCTATTTTTAGATATTCCACTGTGCAAAATTGCCATTAAGTGATACAGAGATCATAAGGGGCTGAGAAAGGAAGGTTAAGAAGCAAAATAAATAAGTAAATAAATAAAACAAGCATTTAGAAGCAAGCAACACATGCAGAACAAGCAAGAGATTAGTTTACATGAAGAGGCAACTTACATGGCTGTTGAGAAGAGAGCTTCTGTGAGTGGACAGACCGTCAGACTTTTGCAGCGTCTCAATCGCCATTTCAATCTGATAATAGATGTCATTAAAAAAAGGGCTCAAGACAAGATAGTAATAAAAGGCTCACCAGAGAATTTTTGATAGATTCTTTAAAGTTCAATTTCTTCTTCAATGGTGGCTAATGAATAGCTCTCACTAAATGTGTATTTCCTCCTTCCTCCCCCCAATCCCAGAGAATAACATAAAATTAGGCACACTAATAATAAGCTCAATCACAAAAGTAAACCTTTTTGAATATTCCATAATTATATAAGAAGGGAGACCTGAGAAGCAGGAACCCCAGAGGATTGTGCTAGTTAAAATATTCTTGACTTTCGTAGTTCAACATGTGAGAGAGTAACCGCTCTCTTTCTAAACAGTCTCCCACCCAAAGAGTATTTAATATTTGCTCCGTTCTGTCACAAAAGAAAACTACTGCAGATTTGTGTTTTATTAATATGCATTAGTATTTTAATGCAAATGTGCAAAGACACCTTCATCAATGTTCAAAAGCTTCTAAATCTATCCATTCTTCTCTAAACCCTGTATTAAAATTTGGAAGTGGAGGGTCATTAGTATGAACACATTTAGATGTAATCATGGTCCCTACATCATAGTTTAGGATGTGGTGGTGAGGCAGAGCTATTAGAAATGATAGCAGAAATGGAATGTAGAAGAGAAGATAATTCAGAGCCAAGAAAAAAAGGGACAATCACAGAAACAGTTTTCTTCCGTGTAATCTCAGCACACCATGAGCAATCATAACACCTTAATTAAGTAGCAGGTGCCAATAATAAATGAGATGCACTCTCGATAACCTCATATTTAAAGATCACTCTCTCTCAGCTCCTAGCACTATAGCACTTACTGTAAGATCAGGTTCCAAACACCCTGTATTTGATTACTGGATTCTATTAACAATATTAACTACAGTTAAATTAAAAATCACACTATATAGGAAAGAAATCATTATTTTTATTTTTGCTATCTGATCAAATCAACATCCCTATAAACAGTTATAAAAAATATTTCATGCTTCCAAACACAGATAACATACTTTACATTGGCTATGAAAATTAATGATGCCTTGAAATTTCAACATACTGCCTCCCCCTACCAAAAAAAAAAGATGGATGGCAAAATCCATAGCAAAGCAAAGTCTTTTTTTTTTTCCATCAAGTTTACAACTGCTTTATGGTGGAATACTTTATACACAGAATGTTCAGTCTCAATTATGTCAACATTAAATTTAATTTTCTTAGGAATTAGTAGCTTTAATTTTATGTTATTTCCCCAAGTTACTTGTTCTTCTTCCCTAGAGTTAATAAAATGTAATACAGAAAAGAATGTTAGGTAGAAATTATAGAAAAAATACTCTTAAAGTATATAATAATTCATAAGATGATATAATACAATTTATTATATGATTAAATTCTTTTTAATCACAAAATTAAGTTAATTGGCTTCTGCAACACTCTTTGCCAGATGGAAGGTTAATGTAGTTCATCATTATACTTGAAAATAAATTGAAGAAAATGATATTGTACAAACCAAAAAAAAATTATGGAAAGAGTAATGTAAATGTAATGAGTAAACATTTTACCAAAATGTTAAACTAAAATTATAAAGGACCTCAGTATTACATCTCTTAAAAAGGCATCAATAAGTGCTCTTGTTTTCAGAGAGAAAACATATATTGGGACTTCCCTGGCAGTCCAGTGGTTAAGATTTCGCCTTCCAACGCAGGGGATGTGGGTTCGATACCTGGTCAGGGAGCTAAGATCCCACATGCCTCACGGCCAAAAAACCAAAACATAAAAGACAACAGAAGAAATATTGTAACAAATTCAATAAAGACTTTAAAAATGGCCCACATGAAAAAAAACTAAACAAACAAAAACAACCAAAAAAAAAAAAAACAACCAAAAAAACCTATATAAAACGACAGCTGAAAAGTCTCATCCTCATGTGACTGTAAGTCACTTCTAGGAAGAATTTGCTCAAAATTCAAATTTGCTAAAATGCCTACATTTTCTTTAAAGTTTGAGTGTGGAAAATTTGAGGTTAGATTTCGGTCTACTTAAAAATAAAATGATCTGTATCTTGTGATTTTATAGGTTTAAGTGAAAGGTAAAAATTATCAAAAATATAATAGCTGAGCAATAATGAGGGAGAAATCCACATCTGGCTTTGTTTGATAACAGCAATTTTTATTTCTTTATGACTAAAGGATTTGTGGTTATTTTTGACAATTAAAAAATAAGTATGGTAAATAAACATTTTCCATTTCTTCCCTAATTAAGCTTTAGGCTATGAGTATACCTTAGCTTTTTGTTTGAAGAATCAATTCTCTGAACTAAGGTACAGTGCCCAGTTATATCTCTTACTGAATAATCATCCTAGGACTGAATCGTCAATAGGGCACATTTCTTCTTCACGATTATCTAATGCTAGGATACATGGTGCTTGGCAGTTTAGACTGGTTCATGATGATCCTGAACTACTGATTCATAATCAGATAAGAAGCTATGGCAACTCCTCTGAGATCAAATGGTGGGATGTTCCATTTGAGATGAGATGTTCAGCATGGAAAGGCTTATAGAGCATTAAGTGCCATTACTGGAGTGGGTGAGACTTACAACTCCCTATGTGAAAGAGCAGGTAAGAAACTGATAACCATTCCAGCCAACATGAGCACATGAACTCTTAGAAAAATCAGTCTTTTCTGCAAGACTAAAGAAAGATCGCTAGCAATATACTAGGGATGAATTAAAACCCTCCACGTTCGCCAGCTAAAACAGGATTCCCATGAGAATGGGAATCTACTCTGAGGGTAGTTATCAGTCAAAGACAGAAACCCTTGGTCCAGTGCTACTGCAGAAACACTTTCAGAAACTGGAGAAGAGGATTTTGCACTGTGTTTAGACACGCCATTGAAATATTAGAGGACTGGCAGGCTTCTGGGGCAGAAAAGCGATAGAGATCAATGAAAAGTCTTCCAGCCATAGGAATTATAAGTGTGAGACCACCAGCCTCAGATGCTACCCCAACAGAATGCCTGACAAAGTCTAAAGAGTCAGAGCTCAGGTAATGTGGAGAGCTTCCTACATGCATAGGCCAGGTTTCTTTCTGACTGCACATTAGCAGAAAGATGAAAGACCTCTTTGCAGTGTGTCCCATGACAAGGCACTACAGAGCATAACTCGAAAAATCAGACCTGGTTTGAGCACTTGCTGAGAGTAGTTCACAGTGAAGACTATTCAGGAAAACAGACTTTCATCAGAGAGTGCAGGGACACCCATGAGTTTTGCTGTGAGTGAAGCTTAATTTGGGCAAAGAAAGAGAGGAAGGTAATACTAGTTGCCATGAGAAAACGATGTCTGACCTTGTGTCACCAGTTAGGAACTGCAGAATTAAAGTAAATACAGGTGTGACTCAGCTCCCCCAACCAAACACTGAATTCTCAAAAGACAGAATCCCAGGGAATGGTGTAAGTGGTTTCCCTCATTTGGGCACAAGTGGTTTCCCTCCATACTAAGAACGGAGTGCTCATTAAAGACTATGACAACTATTTTTTCTTCTGAAATAGAGTGGCATGGTCACAAATGTGACACAAATATGACCACATGGCAACAGGAAGACCTTAGTTCTTGTGTGGTAGATTCAAGGAAAAAAATACCTGGGCTCTGTAAGGCAGAAGAAACCCCTATTTGTCTGGAAGATAGAAAGTATGCATGTCTGTTGCAGACTGCACCAGTGAAGAAACTCTTCCATTATTTCTCAGGAATTAGGAACAGAAATCAGTAGGAACAGGGAGAAGCTGTATTTCACATCCAGGAGGAAAAAAAATAAAGCTCAGTGGAGCTCCTACAAAGATACAGCAAACCGGGCTTCCCTGGTGGCGCAGTGGTTGAGAGTCCGCCTGCCAATGCAGGGGACACGGGTTCATGCCCCGGTCCGGGAGGATCCCACGTGCTGCGGAGTGGCTGGGCCCGTGAGCCATGGCCGCTGAGCCTGCGCGTCGGGAGCCTGTGCTCCGCAACGGGAGAGGCCACAACAGTGAGAGGCCCGCGTACCGCAAAAAAAAAAAAAAGATACAGCAAACCCTCTAAGAAGGACCTGAAGGGGACAGGGCACCTATTACCTGATGGGGGATAGATACACACTATGATAAACATGTGGCCTAAAACACAGGCTGCAAACTCTTTTCCAGTCACTCAAATGCTAATGTTGCCTTGTTGGAATCCAGGGACCAGTGGAGAGTCTCTAAGCACCCAAGGTCACTTGAGGCTTGTAAGATATCCACCCAAGAATCAGTGTCCTGAAAAGGACAACAGAGAAAAGTCACACCTAAGCCCTTAGGGAAAGAGGCTGAGAGAACAGAGAAGAGGGGTCAAATGATGTCTGGATGTCCAGTAAATATTCTGTTTATATTCTCCTTTCCCAAGCTCAAAGAAGAGATCAATATTGTACTTTTACTAAGGCAGCAAATACTTTTTTCATTATTTATTTATTTAAACATCTTTATTGGAGTATAATTGCTTTGCAATGTTAGTTAGTTAATGCAGTGTTAGTTTCTGCTGCATATCAAAGTGAATCAGCTGTACATATACATATATCCCCATATCCCCTCCCTCTTGATCCTCCCTCCCATCCTCCCTATCCCACCCCTCTAGCTAGTCGCAAAGCACCGAGCTGATCTCCCTGTGCTATGTGGCTGCTTCCTACTAGCTATCTGTTTTACATCGGGTAGTGTATATATGTCAGTGCTATTCTCTCACTTTGTCCCAGCTTCCCCTTCCCCCTCCCCTCCATGTCCTCCAGTCCATTCTCTACATCTGTGTCTTTATTCCCTTCCTGCCCCTAGGTTCATCAGAACCATTTTTTTCCCTTAGATTCCATATATATGTATTAACATACGGTATTTGTTTTTCTCCTGACTTACTTCACTTTGTATGACAGACTCTAGGTCCATCCACCTCACTACAAATAACTCAATTTCGTTTCTTTTTATGGCTGAGGAATATTCC